GCTTGTTAAAAAAAAAGTCCCCCCCCCCAGCAGTTACACAGTATGTACTTTTGTCTGTCAGTGCAATATGTAAAACGAAACACTTCTTTTCAGCAGTTCGGCAATGGCAGCATATATATAAAAGCAAAAAGAAAAAGAAAGAAATCTTAGGTGACTCCTGGAAAATTGCTTCCTTTATACTGGGAGGAAAATTGCTTCCTTTATACTGGGAGGAAAATTGCTTCCTTTATACTGGGAGGAAACTCTTCATAAATTCAACTTTTGCCTTACCACGTTGTCTGTTAGGGATTTCAGCTTGTCACGTTGTAAAAATGGTTGAAGTTGCTGTACCGTTTGAGAGAGAGAGGACTTTGCCTCCAGTCACACTTCAGAGAAAAAGACCCGTTCTGGACAGCTAAGTTTGTAAGGAAGGCCATCCTTATTTTGCACAGACTGAGCATCTTCCCCCACTATGTATAAGTTGTGAATTGTATTTGGGAAAAAATAAAGGATTTTAATTTAAAACTGGTTCTCGTCTCTGGACCCAACATGTATGGTTTCTCCCTCTGCTGTGCACCCACACCCCATCTGATGCTTGAATCCTTCTCTATATCCCCTAAGAGCCAGTTTGGTATAGTGGTTAGGAGCACGGACTCTAATCTTGGGAGAACTGGGTTTGATTCCCCACTCCTCCTCCACATGCAGCTGCTGGTGTGACCTTGGATCAGTCACAAGTTCTCTCAGAGCTGTTCTCTCAAGGGCAGTCCTCAAGAGAGCTCTCCCAGCCCCACCTACCTCACAGGGTGTCTTTTGTGGGGAGGGGAAGGGAAAGGAGATTTCTGGTGTCCTTGCTTATTGGGGAGACTGTTCCTCCTTTAAACCACACTCTGTACATGAACTTGGTAGATTTCTGCTGCCACCAGGAATTAAAAATTCCAAATCTCTCTATTTTGGTAGAATGACCTAGTGTCTGGGCACTTCAGAGGACTATGTGGCCCTGAGGAAGGACTGTTCTGATTTCTGGGATAAGTTTAAACAAATAATGATTTATTTATAGAAGAAAAATAGGTTTCTGGGTATTTTGAACTGTTGTTGAAGAAAGAAAATATAACTGACAAATCTTGGTTTCACACACAAACACCAAAACTCAACTCTGACAGGCTTATCTCCCTCTCATATATATAGCCACACAGGCTGAACTCTCTTGCTCATATATAGCCACATAGGCTACTCTCTTGCTCATATAGCCACACAGGCTGAACTCTCTTGCTCATATAGCCACACAGGCTGAACTCTCTTGCTCATAGCCACGCAAGCTAAACTCCAACTTCTTCCTCTGTCATACCGACGCTCACAAAAACTCCACACTCATCTCTCTAAAACACACAGAATCGCCTCAGAGACCTCACCTCCCACACTCTCAGTCCTCAGCCAGTCACATCACACTGATCGCCCTCTGTCACTCTCCTTACATTACCGCAGTCACACTAAACGTTTAAAGAAACACACACACCAAAACATGAAATCATTCCAAGATTGTTTTTTAAAAAATGGGGGGAGAGGTTTCTTCCAAAGGACTTTTAAAAGTTTTTCCAACTAGAAGATTAGGGGGAGTGCTGGGGGGAAAAACCCCTCCTGTGAAATCTTTTATTTTTGAATGGGAGCCTTCTTGCCAAGTGTTTCAGTCATTCTAAATGTCCAGCATGAAGACGTCTGATGACTTCCTCAATTTTTCCAGTGGGAAATTCTGGGGAGCACTGAAAACTCCTGCATTGTAGATGTAGAATCCTGGAGTTGGGAGTGGTGATAGAGGCCATCCAGTCCAACCCCCTGCTCAATGCAGGATCAGCCTAGAGCATCCCTGAGAAATGTTTGCCGAGCCGCCGCTTAAAGACTGCCAGTGAAGGGGAGCTCACCACCTCCCTAGGTGGCCGATTCCACTGCTGCACAACTCTTTTAACTGTAAAAAAAATTCCCCCCAACATCCAGCTGGTACCTTTCACATGGTAATCTAAACCCATTCTTGCGAGTCCTCTCCTCTGCTGCCAACAGGCACAGCTCCCGGCCCTCTTCTAAGTGACAGGCCTCCAAATACTTAAATATATGACCGTTTTCAAGATTTCCCCCCCATTGAATTTGTATGTTGGCAAACAATCAATATGCTATAAGGTTTAGAGGGATTGGATTTAGACCTCGCCCTTCACTTGGAGCCTCAGAGCGGCTTACAATCTTCTTCCTCTTCACTACAGTGGACACCCTGTGAGGTAGGTGGGGCCGGGAGAGCTCTTTCGAGGACTGCTCTTGACAGAACAGCTCTGAGAGAACTGTGACTGGCCCGAGGTCACCCAGCTGGCTTCATGTGGAGGAGTGGTGGGGAGTCAAGCCCAGTTCTTCAGATTAGAGTCCATCGCTCTTAACCACTACACCAAACACCAAATTACTAATGTATTTTCAATGTTATAAAATTTAGCTTAATCTCCAAGCGATGCTGGTAGTTCTACCTGTGGGGATTTTCTTATAGAAAAGAAAGATTTTTATTTACTTGTTTTATTAGATTTTTATCCCGCCCCCAAAATGGGGCTGGGGTTGGTGGCTAACGACATAGCAAAGCGATAATAAAAGCACAGATTCAATAAAATTCAATCAAAAACTCAACAGACAGCCAACTGACGCTTTTGGTATAAAAAAGGAAATCAGCATTGACCAGCATTGATAGTCCACCAAAATCACATTAGTGGAATGCCTGGCAGAATTAACTGTCTTGCGTGCCCTACAGAACACAGACTTACTCCCACAAGGCACGAGTCTCCTCAGGTGCCAGTTTGGGGCCACTACAGAAAATGCCCTTCGTAGTGTTTGGGCGAATCAAGGGCCAGGCACCACCAGTGTTCCCTCTAAGCTGAGTTAGTGTGAGCTAGCGCACAGTTTTTTAGCCTCTGGCCCTCACATTTTTGTCTTCACTCAGGAAGGACGGCTCCAGAGCAAAGTAACTTATGCAGTAGCCAAATCGCTCGCTCACAACTTTAAGGCCAGTAGCTCACAAAGTAGAATTTTTTGCTCACGAGACTCCACAGCTTAGAGGAAACATTGGGCACCACCAAAAGCCCCACCGGGGAGGAGCATATCTCTTAAATCCTGTACATATGCCAGATACTATCATTTGCTTATACTAATTTGTACCTAATAAATCAGTGAACATAACTGATGTTTGATAGGGAAATAAGAATATAAACTCTCCTCCAACTCCACATTTCAAGGGAATCGACTTCTGTCTTATTTTTAAATATATTTTTTAATTTGTTTTTAAAACATCGTCAACAACAGTGAACGTCAAAAGCATTAAGCAAGCGACAACAAGAGATAAGGATCGAGTCGCATCAAAAGCTTATTATGTCGCAGTAAAAACTTTTAACATTTTTTTGAACATTTCTCAACCAATTAGAAAGGGTAAGAAGTGCTGGTAATGATGCTACCTCTGTCAGTGAGGCCAGTGTGAGTACTGGATTAGGTCTGGATCTTAGATGTAAAATATTGTTAGTGTGTACAGTAGAAAGCTAGAGGGAAAGCAAAGAAGAATAAGTAGTGTTAGTGGGAAGACGTTCAGCTTCTGTCATGTACTGCCAGGGCTATTTTTGGGCAGGAACGCACAGGAACCGAGTTCCGGCTGGCTCCCAAGCTGGCCACACCCAGCAGGAACTCATTAGCATAATAGGCCACACCCAACAGCAGAAACTCATTAGGATTGGCTACATTAGGGGTATGTGGCCTAACATGCAAAGGAGTTCCTGCTACAAAAAAAGGCCCTGGGTTTTGACCACAAACAAGGTAAACAGAATAAGAAGCAAAAGATGGGTGTGGCTGGATGACCACACTTCTGGCAACATGGGAATGCGGCTTAATATGCTAATGACTGGTGCAGTCAGGGGTGTGGCCTAATATGCTAATGAGTTTCTGCTTCTGGGTGTGGCCTGTTATGCTAATGAGTTCCTGCTGGACTTTTTCTACAAAAAAAGCCCTGTGTACTGCAGCCATGGAAACCATGTGCGTACAAACGTAGAGTAGGTCATGGTGGTGCCCAGTCGTTGTCTTTGAAGTGAGTCAGAGATTTTGCACATAATAAACTGATCCCATACTTTATTTCTCCACATGGTCAGCGTTGGAGGGGAGGTTGACTTCCATGTGGTAGCTATGGCCAAGCGGGCCGCTGCCAGCAAAATCAAGACTTCCTTCCAACTTTCACACCCATACATAGTAATGGGGAATACTATAGTACGAATTACCTGGGTCGCTAGTGACACATCCTTATGTTAACATAAGTTTACTTCTTTCACCACTTTTGGCCAGGCGTGCAAACTTCTGCCCAGTTTTTCTTGGAAACAGGTGTGTTGCCTAAAACGGTAGAAGGCACCATATGTGCAAGTCATTCTGATGTTGAGTACCTTCTTCTTCCCTGGTCATGATGTAGGCCTGCAAAAGCTGGTTTATGAGATGTAGTGATGGCCACTGGACAAAAGAGTTTTAAAAGGGGATTAGATAGATTCATGGAGGATAAGTCTATCAATGGCTACTAGCCCTGGTGACTTAGGGGAATCTTCACATTCAGGGACACTAAGCCTCTGAATCCCAGAGCCAGGAGACAACATCTGCCCTGTTGTTGGCCTTCCAGAGGAACTGGTTGGCCACTATGTGAGATGGGATGCTGGACTAGATGGACCACGGCTCTGATCCAGCAGGGCTCTTCTGATGTTCTAATGAAGACCTCAGTCTCTGCCCTGTTGTTGGCCCTCCAGAGGAACTGGTTGGCCGCTGTGTGAGATGGGATGCTAGACTAGATGGACCACGGCTCTGATCCAGCAGGGCTCTTCTGATGTTCTAATGAAGACCTCAGTCTCTGCCCTGTTGTTGGCCCTCCAGAGGAACTGGCTGGCCAC